ATACACAACTAAAATATTAATAATTGACTTTTGCTATTTTATTGGAACTATTTAATGAACTTATGTTTATTAATAGGTTTAAATTTTATCCAATAATCATTTAGTAATTTAAAAAGAATGTATTATCTACCAAATCCTCATTTGGGTAGCATGAAAGGTTTATATATTTATAACACTTTGAGATAAAAAGTTTATATGTTTACAATATTTAAACACTTATAAAACACTAAGAAAACACCTAGAAAACACTGAGAGAACACTAAGAGAACACTAAAGTTTTATGATATCATTGCTCTATCGGTGTTGGGTGCAATATTTAAAGATTTTTCTTGTTTCCAGCCTCCGGTAGCTACAATATTTTAAAAATGCATTATTAGACGCATGACAGTTAGTTTATAATTTGCTTCTTGCTGAAAAACTACCTAAACTTTAAACACTATAAAAAACTGGGTACAACTCTGTTTTAATGCATTTATACTATTCACTTACCCAATAGTTATGATTGAAAGAAAAGAACAGAAAAACAACTCTCATTTCACACAATATGCTGCCGACATCACGCTAAAATTACATTTATTATTTAAACAAAGCTGGCCAGCTGCACGTAAAACACTAATACAGAAAAAAAAAGTAAAACTAAAATGAATTAAAATTTTTTTTTGTTTGTGACTTACAAACAAAACAAAATGTTTATGACATTTTATAATAAAAAAAAAAAAAAAAAAAAAAAAAAAAAAAAAAAAAAACAGGTTTCCATGCAATTATTAGAAATCGAAATAGCGTGAAGTAGTTAATCACGTACTAAATATCATTTATGTCTGACAAATATATTTGTTTAGCATATATAGTTTTATCTAATGGTTATTTTTCCATGGTTACCCATTTTTGATTAAATACATTTATATTAATCTCTATATTAAAAATATTGTATATTTCTAAATTATACATTTTTTTCTTTCAGAAAACAAACTTTCCTTAATTTGGATTTATTTTTGAAATACAAAAGACTTTTTCAATTTAATAATTTGGTTTCCGACGGACTGCTTACAACACTTTTAGTATGCTGGCACACTTAAACAATGTTTCTAGTATAGCGCGCACACTTAAACACCTTGAAATTGATTATATATAGACTGTTTTTCTCATAAATTATGATGTCGTGTGAAAAGCAGCTATCCGCAAAAAACAGATCTTGTTAAATTAGCGAGCAAGGCCCAAAATTTTTTTATGCATTATTGGTTAGAGGCTCTCAAAAGGTATCGAAAATTTCAAGGATAGCCTTAAAGAATACGCTTTTTCATTAGGCTAAAATTGGTATAAATTAAAAAAAAATTGCGGTTCTGTAAAATTTGTTCAACAGAATCAAGTTTGAACACAGAAAAAAACGTAAGGAAATTTGTAAATTATATAACGCGTTTGTAAATTAGGTTTAAATTAAGCAAAAACTTTTTTTACAGTTTTGTTTTCCTTAGCAAATATTTAAGGTTTAAAATCTTACTTAATGACATCTGAACAAAGAGGTTTAATTATTTCAATAATGATAAAACTTGAGGTAACCAATTTATCATCTTAAAAAAAATGGAATTTTAAAAAAAAAAAATACTTAAACGCCACATAAATCCATATATTACGTCACGTTATAGGAGGAGGAGGGGGGTTGGGAGGGGTTAGTGGCTTTACGACGACTCATACGCGATTTGTTACTAAAGTGTTACGATGTTGTGACGAAGGGAGGAGGGGAGGGGTCAAAAATGGTTAAAAATTGCGTGACGTAGTTAATGGATGATTCCCATATAGTTTATTAGAAAATGTTAATTCAGTAAACGATGGAATAATCAAAAATAAACAAATGGTCATTCTAAACAAAATAAAATGGTAACTTAAAAAACAACAAAAAAGAGTTTGTTTAAATTACGTTCTACATTTGCAAGCTTAGAAGAAAAATTCCAACTCGAATTTCCTGAACTTAACAATTTTATTTAAGAATTGAATTAATTTTCAGGAAGTTGAAATTTAAAGACAATTTCTCGCTAGTCTGTCGTCAACTTATGAATCTATAAATAACACAAGTAATTAAATAAGACTTTTTGAGAAAAATTCTTTTAAGATGCGAACATAAAAAATAATATTCTAAAAAAAGTTGATAAATATTTGCATTAAAATGTAAATATAATAATTATTTAACTTTCAATTAATCTCCATCTCTTTTGCCTCCAGAATTTTTTGATAGGTTACAAGTTTTTGTCAATGGAGAATTATGATCCATAATCCGAGATGACGATGACAAAGCCACGATGGGTTTTTTTAAACTTTATTAAAAAGTTTGTAAAATAGTTAATAATAGGATAAATAAGTTTATAATTATTATTAAATATATTTATATGATTATAGTTCTAATGTAGACAATTATTACCAATTATGTTAAATATTAGCATTGCATACGTTTACCAGATTAATTCTACTACAAAATCAAAAAGCAGATGTTGTGCACATTTAATCTAATTAATCTTCTATAATTAGCAAAAGTGTGCACTATCTGAAGTAGCGTGTTTCATCAAATAATAGCGCGTCTCATCAAACATCAGCGCGTCTCGACAAAAAATAGCGCGTCTGTATTAAAAGTAATTACAGAGCGAAAGGGTAATAAAAAATTAGTTTTTTGTTGGTATAGAGTTATTGAAGGAATCTTTGTCAAGCTTTTTTTAAATATTAACTTTGTTTTGCTCCTATTTGCATATAGTCTGGAAAACCACAATAGTAAAAAATGATTTTCTTTGCTTAATTTATTAAAAACCATTTCTTCAGAATGTAGCTTCAACAACCGTGAATACCCTTGAGAACCTTGGAACGCCCTTAAACACCCTTAAAATGAAATAAAAAGATGTATTAGTGTATTTATTAGATGTTTTATATTGCAATTGTATTGCAACACGTTTATATTTATTGCGTGTATATCTCAATATTCGTGTTATATCAACTCAATATTGGTATACTACCTTCAGTTTAAACAACTTCATTTTGTTATCTTTTCAAGAAGAAACGGAAGAAAGAGAAAGAAATGCAAGACAGAATGAAAAGCCGAAAAAAGATAGCGAGACATCAGATTTTAATATCTGGCATCTTAAACTAAGGCTGTTTATATGAAGCGGGTTAGCCTATAAATACAGTGCAATCAAGAAGTGCTTCTAGTGCAGTCCGCATCTGATTGCAAACTTACAAACATTCTGAAGCTTTTTATACCTAAATTAACAACAAACAATAACGACTTAACGCACATTAACGACAATAGCTATTAACGACAACAAACATTAACGACAACAAGTATTAACGACAACAAGTATTAACCTCCACAAGCATTAACGTCAACAATTATTAACGTTAATAAACATTACCAAAAACAAATATTAACGTCAACAAACATTAAAGACAACAAATATTCCTTAACAAAACTAGTTGTAGATAAATTTGTAAATAAAAGAAAAATCCAATCAAAAAAATAGTTTTGTTTTAAGCAATTTAGTTAACTCTAAAAAATTATCGAGTCACACCGCTTATGGAGAATATTTTCATTTATATAATGATGTATAAAACTACGATGGGATAACGATAAACTTCATGATGGTTGAGATCCTCAATATTTACACCTTGCAGAAATGCACATGGAAACTGGGAACATTATTATAGTTGAGAAGCGGTTAAAGGATGAGACGCGGGAATAAAGAAAAAAGTTAAAACGGAATCGACAGATAAGAATAGTAAGATAATTAATTGGAGAAGCTGAGACGCAGACGGTTAAAGAAGCTGTGAAGCAAAGGAATTGAGACGCACCAACGAGGTTGTAAGATGATTTGCGGTTAAGAGGTGAGGCTTGGAAGGTGTTTTTAAACGTTAAAGGGAGGCGAGACAATTATTCAGGCGCGACAATTATTCAAGTTATATTACAGGTTTTTAAGATCACGCGTTTTAAGGCACATCACAACTATTAAGTCACTTTACAAATTTTACGTCACTTTACAAATTTTACGTCACTTTACAAATTTTACGTCACTTTACAAATTTTACGTCACTTTACAAATTTTACCAATTTTTACTTGTACTTTGTAATCGCAAAAAAAAAAAAAAAAAATCAATATAAAAGTTTGTTTACATTATAAATAAGTAATGATATTGCTAAACATCAAAGAGATCATTACAATATATAGGCTGTATATACTTTTTTTCTTTTTTGCAGTTAGTTAACTATTTATGTTGCTATATACTAGTAAATACAAGTTTATATTACAAAAAACCTCTAATTTATTTTACATGATTTAATCATTGCTTACTTTTACAAGAAAATTTTTAAAAATTTTTCAGTCAAACAGAAGTTTTCTCAAAAACAAGTATTTTTTTGCTCATTTTAAAGATGTGTGTGTGTGTGTATGTGTGTGTGTGTGTGTGTGTGTGTGTGTGTATGTGTGCGTGTGTGTGTATGTATGTGTGTGTGTGTGTGTGTGTGTGTGTGTGTGTGTGTGTGTGTGTGTGTGTGTGTGTGTGTGTATTATATATAATATATTAGTATTCATAATAACATTAACATTAGTATTAAAAACAACAATAATAACACACTTTGTACTAATAAATTTAATAATTAACAGATTTTTTTAATTCCAAAGAATAAATTTGTTTGAACGCTTAGTAACATTTGAATTAAAAAAAAATCTTTCATAAATCGTATTCATATTGATTAATAGTAAGGTAATGATAACGTTTAAGAAATGAACAGCTTTAGTTAACGTTAGCAACAAGACGGCTACGACGTAATAACATTTTATAAATGGAAATATTTTTTAATTTTCTATTTTTTTTTAACTTATTTTTAAGTTATTACCATAATTGTAAGCAATTGTTGAGAGAGCCTTGATTGGTAATCTTTAGAAAAATTGTATTAATTTAAAAAATAACTTTTTTCAAACTGTTTTAATCTCGTAATGACCATGTTTTCAGCATTACAACGACGAAAGATTACTTTTAATTGAGCTCAATGATTAATTACATGAACCCAATATCGTACGCATATTTTTATAAATTGCATGCAAGCGCCTTCTAGTGGGCAGCTGATACTTACAAAGCAAGTCAGGAAATTACATAATTATATAACAAAAAATTATTTTGATGTCGGAAATAATCAAAAATTGATTTCAAACTCATCATTTCTATATTTTTTGCAGTTGAATTGTTTTAGTAAAACTAATATGACGGCAAATCGAGTAAAATTCCCTTTGCGTCTTCAATCCATTGAGGAAATGGAGGATGCTTACAATCTTAAAAAAGATAAAATTTTGCGAAGGCAGAAAGGAGTGGAGACTGAACTGAGGTAGATAATTTAATTATTTTCGTATACTAGTATACTAGGTGCTCTTGGTAATACACTATTAAGTAATAAGGGTGAAAACATCTTATCTTATGCAAGTTATGTTTTCATTCAGCGATTACTTTAAAGGTTTTCATTTAGTACTTATTCATTTAGTGTTTAGTCATTTAGTACTTTTGTTATTAGTTATTATTAAATACAATTTTTTTTTAATTCAATGTATTAACTTCAAGATTTTGAATATCAACTTACTTTATATTTTGAGTTTTCATCTCAAAAATGAAAACTCAAAATATAAATCTTCAAATAATATTTAAGCATATTTAAAAGCAAGCGTGCAAAATATTTTATGGTGGGTTTTATAATAATATTTTAAAAGAAATGTTTTATGTTACCTTTAGTTCAACATTATTTTTATGCGTAGTCTTTATTATTCAAGTTAATAATATTTTAAATTGTTAAATATACAAAATAACTGTCAATCAACGGAGCAGTAAATCACTAATCAATCATGCTGTCAAAAATAATTTGACATTTAAATATTTTTTGTCTAAACATTAACACTTTGCATTAAACACTTTTTTGTTAACAAACTTTGTTTTTATATTTTTATATTAACTTACCGGCTTATAACTTACATACCGGCTTATAACTTATTAGGTTCATTTTTGAAGACAAGTTTGATTAAAAAGGATGACGTCAACTTTTATAAAATATTTCTTCTTAGTTACTCAAAAAAGCAATAATTAAAACGTTAGACGTCATAACTTTTTATTCCGGATACCCTCAAATACAACGCTTAAATATTTCCGTATTCATCTAAAGAATGATTTTTGAAATCAATAGCTTAATAAAGAAATAGCTTTTTTGTTATGATTTTTTGTATTAATTTTATTGCATATAACCTATTATAAATATCGATGTTATTTTTTAGCATTCATGATTTTCATTTTTACATATAAACTACTTTCGATAACTTATTTGTTTATATTTTTGGATTTTAATGTTCAATCATTCAAGTGCCATTTTAAAATAAATCCATTACAATTTTTGTTGTTATCATCTCAGTATCAAATAATTTTGCTTCCAAAGCCGTCCGCACTATAGCGTCTGCGTTATTGTTTTTTTTAAAAAAGGCAAATATTTCTCTTGGTTTATTCGCACTCTATTAACACCCTTAATTCAAGACGCAGATGTTTCATTGTGAACGATTTTAAATTCTAGACTAGTGTTTATTAGCCTTATTACACAGCTAAATCTTTTAAAGACAAAAAAAAAAAAAAAAAAAAATATTTCCTGCGATATTTTAAACATTATAACACTATATCCATTGGAGGAGAATCATTATTTCCATTGGAGGAAAATCCGTATTTTAAAAATGATTTTCATTAGAGGGAAAATTTTTGAAACCTTATGAAAAGTTTTTTTGAATTAAATCTTGTAAAGAGTATTTGTGTATCTGTGGTCACTCTGTCCAAGTTTTGATTTTTGGGCTAGTAATTATTAGTCGACGAGACCTCTTGTATGCATAAAGCTCTTAAAAGAGACCATTGAGAATAAACGTTTCAAAATTAAGCACTTACGAGTTTCCAATATGTATCCAATTAAAAAAAAAAAACATTTGGTTTTTAATCAACCAGTTAATTAACCAAATATCAAACTGGGCTAATATTTTTACAAAGTGATACTTTAAACATTTTTATCAAATTAAACATAACCTAATAAGTCAACTCATTGACCTTAAAAGTAAACTTATTGACCTCAAAAGTCAACTCATTGACCCCAAAAGTCAACTCAAAAGTGACCTCACAAGTCAACTCATTGACCTTAAAAGTAAACTCATTGATTTCAAAAGTCTTGAGGTCAATGAGTTGCATATTTTGCTGAAAAATTTATTCTGCAGATTTTATTGCGCGTATACAGCGCAATAAAATCATTTTTGTGTGCATGAATTTTTATACGTACGTGCGTACATGTTTTTATACATGTACGTGCGTACGCGTTTGTATACGTGTGTATGTACATTTTTTTGTGTATGCGCAATAAAATCATTTTTGATATTAGCTGCTGAAAGTTTTTTCGGGAAATTTTTTTTGGATAAATAGTTTTTCAGAAAAGTTTTTTAGAATCGTTTAATTTAACTTATCGAGTGACAAAGTTAACGGAAATTTAAAACTTGGCGCAACTTTCTAAAATAAAAAGTTAACGGAAATTTTAAACTTTCTAAAATAAACTTAGTTTTGCCTAATAATAATTCTTTAAAAAAGATTGTATTTACATATGACTTTAATTTCTCTTGAAAAGATTTAATGATTATAATAAAAACCATGCTGGCACGTTACACCAGTAAAAATAAAAACTTTTAAATATTTACTACATTAAAGAACCTAACACTATCAATTGTTCAATAAAAATATTGATTTTAACTAAAACCCATTTTTAAATAGAATGATATTTTAATCTACTCTTCAATATCGGTTATAGATCGTTAGGATCAAGGTCTTGCCCAAAACCTTTTTAAAAAAAGTTTTTACTCAATGTTCTGATTTATTATAAATGTAAACAAAACAGAAAAACGTTCTCATCTATTTTTCAATTTTTATTTATTTTCAAGTTCATTATTCAGTTATATTTATTTTATATTACTGTTTGAAATAACAAATTTGTGTTTTGGTTTTTTGTTTTTTTTTTAAATTTTTTATGCTATATTTTTCATATTAATCACTGAAAAACTAATCTTTATTTTTAATCAATAATTAGCAAATATAGATAAGAAAAAGAAAATGGACATTAAATACCATGTATTAATTATCATGGCGTTTTTATTTGGGTTCACAACAATCTAATAGTACAAAGTAAACAGCAGGCAAAGCGAGCAAGTAAAGCGTGCAAGTAAAGTGAACAAGCAAAGCGAGAAAGCAAAGTGAACAAGCAAAATGAACAAGCAAAGTGAGCAGGCAAAGTGAGCACCAAGTAGCGCAAAAAGAGATTAATAGAAATTAGCTCAATAGTTAAATTTGCTTTTGATTGATTAAAAGTTGAATTTAATTGATCGACGTCAATTAAAATTGACGTCGCCGGTCTTTCATATGAAATTTAAATTTCAGAGTATTGAAATAGCTATTTCATCTTCAACAATGAGTTGGAAAGCATATGTATTAAGAAACATGTGTTAATAATTATCTGTTGATATGCCAAACATATGTATTGATATATATATATATATATATATATATATATATATATATATATATATATATATATATATATATATATATATATATATATATATATATATATATATATTGTTTTTTTATTTTATAATCTATACACTTTTTAATCTATTTTTTTATTCGACAAAATGTTTGTATCGCAATTTTTTATCCGACAGGACATTAGTAACGAAATTTTTTATGCGACAGGACATTTGTAAAGGAAATATTTATCTGATTTGAGATTGCGAAAAAGGTTTTTATCTGACAGGACGTTGGTAAAGGAAATTTTTATCTGACGCGACGTTTGCATAGCGATTTTTGAACTGACGGCACGTTAAAAAATTAAATTTGACATTTGTAAGCCAGATTTTTATAAGAAGTATATAATTTATATACTGTGGAAAGTAGTAATTTGAAACAGGCTATCAAAAAAAAAATTTTTTGCACAGTTTTGTAGGAGACAAATGATTGTGTTTATGTACAGATGGAATACATATTTAATATGTCAGTTTAATATTGCACATTATTATAATTGTTATCATTGCAATATAATTCAAATATAAATACAAAAGAATATAAGATTATAATGTGTAATTTAAAGATAATAAATAATGTAATAATAGATAATAGATAGTTTGTAAGTTTTGGTCTTATTGTCAACTTGAAATGTTCAAATTTTTCCCCTTTTTTTGTTGTTCCTTATTTTTCCTTTCTTTTTTATCTTAAAATAAAATAAGATTTTCTCAATATAAATAGAAATCTCAATTTTCTTTTTTACATCTCAACTTTATACTTACAACTCTTAATCTCAACTTCATTATTACTTCTTCTTCTTAACTTCATTTTTGCTTCTTCTTCTTAACTTCATTATTACTTCTTCTTCATAATTTCATTATTGCTTCTTTTTCATAACTTCATTATTACTTCTTCTTAACTTCATTATTACTTCTTAACTTCATTATTACTTCTTAACTTCATTATTACTTCTTAACTTCATTATTACTTCTTAACTTCATTATTATTTCTTAACTTCATTATTACTTCTTCTTCTTAACTTCATTATTACTTCTTAACTTCATTATTACGTCTTAACTTCATTATTACGTCTTAACTTCATTATTACTTCTTCTTCATAACTTCATTATTACTTCTTTTTCTTATCTTCATTATTACTTCTTCTTAACTTCATTATTACTTCTTCTTAACTTCATTATTACTTCTTAACTTTATTATTACTTCTTTTTCTTAACTTCATTATTACTTCTTTTTCTTAACTTCATTATTACTTTTTCTTAACCTCATTATTACTTCTTCTTTATAATTTCATTATTAATTCTTCTTCTTAACTTCATTATTATCGTAAGATTGGGTGGCTTTGGCCCATTTTGCATCTTAATGTCTATTGCATGAAAGCCACAAAAGTTATTTCCTCAAACACTAAGTACTTTTAGAAGCGCATAGAAAGGAGAGTTAGAACTATCTGTCTCCCATTTGAAAATTATTTACCTGAAGTATCTTTTGGGTGGTTTAAATGGTGGGCCAGAGTTGCCCTTTGTGTTAGGGTGACTTTGGCCCAACCCTGTAAAAAGGAATTAAAGGAAGCAAAACAACGATAAAATTTAAAAAAATAAAGTGACAAAAAAAGATTTATTAACAAAGTTTTTGTATGCAGTAAATAAAATATAGGTACAAACTAAACAAGTATTGGTACCAAGTAAACAAAAAAGTTTAGGTATAAAGTAAACAAAAATGACAAAAATAATGTTTTAAAAAATTTAGTGAAAAAGT